CCGAGCGGGGCACAAGTACGCGCCGAGTGAGCAGGCCTCGCTCACCACCTCCGGCTCCACCACGCCGCTCTCGACGGCCAGGTCCGAGGCGGTGACCTGGTCCTCGTGGACAGTGACCCCCTGATCTGACGAGCAAGCCCGCCCGCCACTGCCAGACCCCGAGGCCACGATGTCCTCCGCACGCAGGATGCCGTCGTGGAGCCTGTCCGCCACCACGCCCCTCCACGGCCATCGCGCAGTCCTCCTCCCGCACGACGACGCTCAAGGCCTCGCCGCACTCGCCAGCACCGGCACCGTCGGCGGGCACACCACTGAGAAGGCCACCTTCGACAGCGCCGGCCACCGCGGCGGGCTCCAGGACTCTCCTCCTGCTGCAGCTCCCGCTCCTGCTCCTGCACCGCAAGCCACCCTTCTCGCGCTCGACGACCCACTGGGCCATGCCGCCGCGAGCAGACGGCCGTAACTCCTCCAGGAGGGCCTCGACATCGCACGCCCCAGCCCAGCCGCAAGGCCACGACGGCGCCTCCTTCCTGAGCTCCTTCACGGGCGAGGCCGCACCGTCGGGCCGCGGGGCCGAGGGTGCGGGGGGGTGCAGGGGGCGGCTGCCGAGGCAACGCCGTCGAGCCGCGGGCCCGCGGCTGCCCGAGCGATGGCCGCATCGTCGACATGGGCGAACCCGCCGGACGGAACCTCGGCGGCATGCCAGGCCGCGTTGCGGCTCCGCCGCAGCCTCCCTGGGGCGCGGCGCCCCGCTGCCCGAAGCTGCAGCACGGGGCGCGCCGCGGCCTCGCGGGCGCGCCAAGAGCCAGGGATGCCAGCGTCGTCGCCGCGAAAAGCACGAAGGGCGGCTTCGCAAGCCTGCTGGCGGTGGCGCCGCGCGGCGCGGCGCGCTGCAGAGGGGCCGAGGGTGCGGATCTCCCCGGCACGGAGAGGACAAGGCCGCCACGCCGCCCCGCGTCGCCATCACCCGAGCCGAAAGCCCCGCTCCCCCAAATCCCCCACACCCGCCGCGTTGCTCCGTCAAGCTGGGGTCGCATGGTACGCCGGGGGACAAGGTTCAGGAGCAGGGGGCCTACGGAAAGGCTAGAGCCAAAATGGCCACGGAAGGGAGGGAGGGAGTAGGAGGAGGAGGAGGAGGCGGAGGAGGAGGAGGAGAAGGAGGAGGAAGAGGAAGAGGAGGAAGAGGAAGAGGAAGAGGAAGAGAAGGAGGAGGAGGAAGAGAAGGAGGACGAGGAAGAGGAGGAGGAGGAACGCACGTAGCTTGAATCCACGGTGACTCAGCTACCGCCAGGGCCCTAGCATCGCATCGCGACGAGGGCTGCGGCTCGTATTTCGTAATGGTAGGTGGGCGTGGCCGCTCTTGGCCTGCCCGCAAGGTCAGCTTTCAGCTTGTGGTAAATTTGGAAGCTCAGCACTACGATATGGTGGCAGCGCTGGCGGGGATACTCGAGTTCATTATCGGGTACTGGGCCAAGCCAGGCGGGGAGGAAACCACGAGGGTAAGCGAGAAGGTGGAGGAGACGAGGACAAACAAGGTAGTGTTGGAATGAGTCTGGGGCTTGGCATCCAAACCAACACTGACACTCCGTAGCGCTCGGAATTCGTGCGGACGTGGTCCATCGGTCGGACAATGCCTTGATGTGTGCCCAAGCCCACGAAGGAGGAGACCGAACTAGGATGGATCGGAGCGCCTCCCATCTCCGCCCGAGCTCCGATACGGGGAAATCGGGCCCCTCTTCCATCAAGTGTAAAACTCTGATTCGAATCGGCCAAACATCGGGTCGGACGGAATCGGAGCACGAACGCCCAATCGGACGGAATCGAAATCGCACGCAGCCACGGATCGGAGTCGGAATCGAAGGCGTCGCGCCTGGAGCGAGGAGGAGGAGGAGGAGGAGGAGGAGGAGACGGAGGAGGAGGAAGAGGAGGATGAGGAGGATGAGGAGGAGGAGGAGAAGGAGAAGGAGGAGGAGGAAGAGGAGGAGAAAGGGGCGGGCAGAAGAGGATGGTGAGGAAGAAAGTGAAGGAAGAAGGGGCGGAGCGGGATGATGATGATGATGTTGAGGTTGAGGTCGAGGCTTAGGTTGATGCCGCTGTTGCCGCTGCTGCTGATAATGATGCCGACGATGCTGATGCTGCTGAGGCTGATGCTGTTGATGACGATGCTTTTGATGATGCTGATGACGAGGCTGATGATTATTACTAGGATGCTGATGCTGATAACAATGACCATGGCGATGATGATGCTGCTGCTGATGATGATGACGGCGATGGTGATGATGCTGATGATGCTGATGACAACGATGATGATGCTGATGTCGATGAGATGGAGGCCAGGAAGCCCCCAAACAACCACAACTTACGTCGAACGTCGTCGTCATCTTGGGTGCACGGGCGCCTGCGGTTGGCGCGCATCAGGCACACCACGTACGTGCCGCACGCGCACGCCAAGGAGCCGAGCAAAGCCACCGCGGAGACGGCCACCACCGCGTCCAAGTCCCTCCCTCCCCTCCCTCCGTCCCTCCCTGCTCCTTCCCCTCCCCGTCCCCCTCCTCCTCCTCCTCCTCCTCCTCATCCTCCTTCTTCCCCTCATTATCATCATCGTCATCATCATCATCATCATCATCAGCATCATCATCATCAGCATCATCATCATCAGTATCATCATCGTCGTCGTCATCATCATCATCACCAGCAACCTCATCATCATAACCATCACCATCAACATCACCATCATCATCCGCATCATTATCATCATCATCATCATCATCATCATCGTCATCATCACCATCAACAGCATCAGCATCATCATCACCACCACCACCATCATCAGCACCTGCCTTCGGGGCGTGTGAGACACCTGCCTGCTTTGAGAGGGCCACCGAGACCCGAGGGAGCACGAGCAGCGGCAACCATACCTTTTTCACCACGGGCAGCGCAGACAGTTGTACTGATCTCAAGCGCTGAACACCAGCACCTTTTCAGGGTGCTGCTTAACAACATCACAGAATTCTGAAGCGCAGCTCCGCTCCGCAAGGCAAAGAAGTAAAAATGTGACAAGGGAGGTGGGCGGGAGCAACACACGCTGCAGAGAGCAACATCGGCTGACGCAAGACGTGCGCGCACTAGTAGCATCTGCCTTCGGGGCGTGTGAGACTCCTGCCTGCTTTGAGAGGGCCACCGAGACCCGAGGGGGCACGAGCAGCGGCAGCCAGACCTTTCACCACGGGCAGCGCAGACAGTTGTACTGATCTCAAGCGCTGTGCACCAGCACCTTTTTCAGGGTGCTGCTCAACAACATCACAGAATTCTGAAGCGCAGCTCCGCTCCACACGTGCAAACTGTTCTATCATGGAGGAGAAGGGGTGGTGGTGGGACTTCTCCCTGGATACACACTCACTACAAAACTGCAGAAAAAGAGGTGGCCTTCAGGCTCTCAAAACAATTAGCGAAAGCATTGGCAAGGGCACGGGGGTAAAAAAAAACACTTTGGATATTCCTCGGCCACGCGGGTTTTAAATATTCCATTACTGCTCTTGCCCGTTAAAGAAACATGTGGTTTGTTAGCTCTGGAACACCTTCCCCTGCAGAGTTTACACCTGCGGCCCAAGGATTCAACAGGCAAGTAACTACACATTAACCTAGTTGGCTTCATCCAAGGGACTCCCCATGGACAGAAATCAGTTCGAATCTCCCGTGTAGTGTGACGTCGTCGTAGATGCAGCATCTGAGGCGCCTCCCACATAAAGGATAAGTAAGGGTTCTCGATACAGAACGGGACCATGTGCAGAGACGCCACTGACGCGATGCGCACAGTGTTTTTCATGGTAGTGTTTCCCATATCTATCTTCCAGCGCTCCCCCTCGTTTCGCAAGGCGGGCAGCCCAAGAATGTGTTCGCCGCTTCTTAGGGGCTGGGGGCCGTTAGGCCTGGTACGAGCGCGAGACCATGGAATACACGGCGTGCCGAAGTGAATGCCTATGATGAAGCCCGACATGATCCAGCCTCTAATGGCTCTCACCAGGGATCTCTTACATATATCATGCCTCATGCCGAACCGAGTGTCGATAGCGATCGCCAGGAAGCCGAGCCTAGCCATCTCCCTGGACACGCGAGCCGTTCCTGCAAAGATCTCTAGAAAGAAGGGCACAATCAACGTACGCGTAGGCCCGCTGGAGCCTGCAGCGGCGCGGCCGCACTCTGCAGGATCCTCGGCACAGCCCCCAAACACCTGGCGGCGAATTCTTTCATCTGGGTAGAACACCGATTTAGGAGCTCGTTGATACGCCCTCCTTTTTGATATCTCCTCACACTGCTGTCTGATGACCACCTGCCGCGATGCTTGATCTCTGCGATCGTCGTGCGACCTGCCAGGAAGTCGGCGCTTGGCCCTGAGTGACGGAGACGATGCATCATGAACTCGCCGATCGCCTCCTCGAGGCCGAACTCGCGGATGATCTGCGCCGCGCTCTCGCCGAGGGCAACCGACCCGATCCCTGCCAGGCACTCGTTGGCTGGGCGGATCCGTCGAAGCCGAAGGGGCGCCGTCGCAGGAGGTAGCCAGTCCACCTTCACTGTCTCGTCGAACTCCCCCACCTTGGAGCTCGCGCCGAGCTCGAAGGGATGCAGCGCGATGGTGACTGTGGCCCCTGGCCCACTTGCACTGACTGGCGGGTGGATCATCCCCCACGTTGTGCGGGGCAGCTCGCCGGGGCGAAGGTAGCAGTGGTGCGCCGCCAAGACCGCCGCGCCCTGCTGCAACCTCCCCTGCGCGATCAGCTCGTTCGCCACCACAAAGAGCAGGCTCTCGGGAACTGGCAACCTCGACGCGCCCGGAGCAAGTCGGCGCAACGCCGCGGAGCATGTCCGTGCCCGAGGGAGGTTGCACGCCTGCTTGCCCACGGAGGCGAAGGCCCAGGACAGCGCTGCCAGCAACCGGCCGCCCTCGCTCCTCGTCGTGCCCTCGAAGAACTCCTCGTTGAGGTGCTCCGCCACCGCCGCGTCCAGGCTCACCGCGCTCATCTGGCCGTGGAAGCTGATGATGCGGTCCTGCGCCCGGTCCAGCTCCGCGCCAGTCACGTTCTGCGCGATCGCCATCCCCGAGCGCCGCGCCAGCCCCGCAAGCCGACGGAGGTGCGATCGCCTCGTCGGCGCTCGCACCACGACCGTCTCCAGCGCCGTCCGTCCGGGCAAGGCCCGCACAGCGCCGTGAGCATCCTGCCGTCGCCGAACTCGCCGACGCACATGCTCTGGCGCTGTGGCCGGGGCCAGGCGCCGTCGCGGCAGGCGAGGATCCTCGGCCGGCGCCGCCGCCGGTGCGACCGGTGGGGGGCGGGCCGCGCCCGGCAGCAGCACCGGCGGGGCCGGCGCCTGGCGGGTCAGGAAACGCCCTGCGTCGCCACTCCGAGAGAGCACTCTCTCCTCGCGCGCTGCCCCAGCCGCGGCGGAACTTGCCTCCAGCGGTCGCCGCGCCAGCATGCCGCAACCCGCGGCGGGACGGCTCGTCAGCTACGTTCCTCTCGCTGGGCACCCATCGCAGACAGAGCTGGATGTCCCGCAGCAGGAGATGGGAGGCCAACTGGCGGGCGACGCGGCAGTGACCTGGCGCACTCGACCTTTCCTTTTGAGCCGAAAGCAACGCACCCATGGAGTCCGTGAGAACGAGGGCCCGCTTCTGGATGTACTCGCGAGTCTTTGCGACCCTCCTGAGGACTCCCACCAGGGCCTTACTACTGACCGTGTGCCACTTAGCGTGCAGCAAGCTAGTGTGAAGCCCAGGAACAGGAGGCACTCTTCGAAAGGAACCTTCAGGTGCCCCAGCGTCATCATCATCCCCTTCTTCCAGTGCTGCCCGTGGATTAGCACGACCTCCACCCGAGAAGTGCCGCCGATCTGAATACCTGCTGGCCTCGTCCAACGCCTCAGTGAGCGGCCGCGCCGCGCATATCCCAAGACCCCACGGCGACGCATCACGCGTGTAGGCCCTCGGTCCCCACGGCTTGGTAAGGTCGCACTCGAGCAGCGGAAGCAACGCCTGAGCCCAGCGGAGTTCTCTCAGCACCGCGGGCCACAGCTTCGAGGGGCTATCGGGGTACTTCTCTATGAATACATACACGGCACGAAAGCATGACAGCAACTCCCGACGAAGCATTGCCTGATGGGTGATGTGTCCCAAGAGCTTCCGAAGCGTCCTACCGGAACAACGACGGCGCCTCAAGAGGAACTCCAAAGCCATCCACACCCTCCATCTCCTTTCGTGTCGTGGTAAGATTCGACCATCTCCCGAGACGCTGAGCCCCAGTAGATCTCCCCCGACTCCGACGACATCGACCTCGTGAGCCTCTAGACCGGCACCTCGAACAGCCTCCAGGGATCGCTGAGTGAGATCACGACAAACATCAGGGGAGCTCGAGAAGACGCCCACGTTGTCCACATATACCGACACGCACCCATTTTTCAGACCACCAACTTGCCGATCCTGTAGAAGATGAGAGCTTGGAAACGCCTGGCTCAAAATCCTCTCGTGTATTGTCTGGCACCAGTACAGCGCGTGAACCCAACCCATCGGCATGGCAGTAAGCCGAGGTCGCACCATCCCTCCAGTGCTCGGAATGTCGGGGAGCAGCTGCTTCATCCACTTAACCTTGATGGGGGGCAGATGGAAAAATCTCCGCAACTCGGGGGGTGTTCCAAACTGAAAGAAATCATCCTTTAAATCGTACTGACCTACATACAGCTGCTCTCCGGCCTCGAGCCTTAACCTGGATAGCGCGCCCGATGTGGGCAGCTCGACATGATCACTACTCGTGAAAAAAGCAATTGGACTGCCGGCAGTCGGCAATCAGGCGCTGGGCACCGCTCTTCTTGCGCGCAGTAAAAAGTCCTACGCAAGCGTCACCTTCCTCGCACACAAACTCAACCATGTTCCTGACATGCAGCATCTGAAGCACGCGTGCATATCGGCGCGCTGACCTGCGAAGGCCAGGGTCATGATAAATCTTCATCTTGCTCGCTTCGAAACTGTGCATGCCTACTGAGTTTGGCAGCACATGCTCGCACATCCACGCCTGGACTTCCCCGCGACCTTTGGGGCCCGGAAGCTGACGTGTATCAGTTGGGGCCGTCCCTGCAGGCCTAAGCGACAGCAGAGACTCGTCCGGGGGAACTGCTGGCGAACTCTCGCCAGAGTAGTCACGCCCACCGCTGATGCTCGAAAAAGCCTCGGCCGGCTGAACATCGGCGGGGGGGATGCCCATCCTACTGCAACGTTCCCGGAGGTGCCCCATGCTGCCCCCGCCCAAAGACGAAGCAGAACCCGCAGGACAGGACGGAGCACCACCCAGGTACATTTCTGCAAGGACGGAGGCGGCGTCGTGACTAAGCCTATTCAACCACTGCTCGGACGAGACTGGAAGACTGCTCAGCCCAGGCGGCCGCCTAGTTGCGCAGATCGAGGGATCTGACCTCGATGCTTTTACCCGATGCTCTAAAAGTGTCCGA